TTCAGTATGACATCTATATTGTGTTCTGGTTGACCAATGCTTTTCCAAGAAGGGAAAAGAGCTCAGGGGGAACTTTTTAACAGTCATTTTGAGAGCAATTCTAGGTTGCTCTAGGTAGCCCTCTCAAACTGAACTGTGGTCTTTCTCAGAGACCTGCAAGAGGAGAAGGTCAATTAGCACTTTGGACGATTTAGTCCAAGAGTGAAAAACTTGTTTGAATGTTATAGCTGAACATGGGACAGCCACTGTCACCAGTGAATTCTAAGGCTATGACAAAAGAATTTTTTAAAAGTTTTTTAAAAATATAAAAATTAAAAAGAGAGGGCCAAGGATTTAGCTCAGTGGTTCCTGCCGCCTGCCTCACAAGCGCAAGGACCCGAGTTCGATCCCTAGTACCAAAAATATATATAAATAAAAGTTAAATAATAAATAAAAAAGAGAAGTAAGAAAATCAGCAAGAAAGAAGTGGCTATGTTAGGAAGTGAAACTGTCATAAACTGGTATGAAACGGGGGAGGATGGAATAAAGCAGAGTGTGAACTGGGGCAAACAGAGAAGATGATCTTTCAAATTCAGAGCTATTACTCAGAATGCCCAGAATGTCCTGTTTCTACTTCACAGTTCCATTAAACTATCCTGTGTATGTTCTAATAGAAAAATGGAAGAGAAAGGCACGAGAGATAGTTCAGTGGTACGGAACATTCCTAGCATGCACAAGGCCCTGGGTTCAATTCAATCCCCAGTACTACCAAAAAAATAAGAGCAATTACTAATAAAAGTAGAGAATTAGGCTTATCTGACTCTGAATCACTGAACCTTGCTTTCAAAATATGTCATATAGGCCCGGGGATTTGGCTCAGTGGTTCCACTGCCTGCCTCGCAAGTGCAAAGGCCCCAGTTCAATCCCTGGTACCATTAAAAAAAAAAAAGAAAGAAAGAAGAAAAAACATGTCATAAAAATATGCTCTATAAATATTCATATTAGAGCAAGCACTTGATTAAGGTGTGACTTTGGTCACATTTTTTAAAAAATTAATTTGCCTATCATTCTTGTACAAGGGCCATGCTAATCTTCTCTCCACTGTTCCACTTTTAATATATGTGCTGCCAAAGCAAGCACTGGTCACAGCATTCTTAACTCTTCTGTACTTCTTCTATTCCAGCACTTTTATCACAGGCACTAGGGCCAGGGGGAACTTTAAGAGATTAGCTATGGCCATGGGTATAGTCAACCCAATGCTTTTAGAACAAACCAGAACTTTGAGGAAAGGGACTTACATTTCCACAAATTTGAACCTCTTCTAATCCTCACTCAATGATGCAGCTTCAGAAAAGTGCCCTGTCATCCCTGAGCCATGGCTTCAATATCAGGACAACCATCTCTGCTCACTCTCAAGAAGATGATGCTAAAATAAATTCACTAATAATTTTTAAATTATTTTAAGAAAGAGCTGGGTATGTAGCTCCATGGTAAAGAATTCTTGCTTGGTGTGTAAGAGGCCCTGGGTTCAAGTCCCAACACAGCCAGGAAAAAAGTGTCTCTGTGTGTGTGTGTGTGTGTGTGTGTGTGTGTGTGTGTATGTGTGTGTGTGTATTACAGGGGAAAAAGCGAACATGTACGCCCTATAAGAAAATATCATTTGCTGACCTTGGATCTCTTTTGTGCCCCCAGTAACCAACGATCTGAACTGTTACTTCCTCACTCTTAGGGGATGTATCAGGTGCTGTAAAAACATAAACCAAACTTAGCTAGACTGTGGTGACCTTAAAACTTGGAATTTGGTGGTGCAAATTCCCTATGATGAGTGTTAGCATTATGTATGCCTAAAATGTACCAGTAAATGTTTTACTATTAAAAAATAAATTAATAAATGTTTTAACTTGGAATTTGGGGGAAAATACTTTAAAATTCTTTTGTACTCTGAATCAAACTCAGGGCTTCCCACATGCTTAGATATTATCTTCTGGGTTGGTGATGCAGCTCAGTGTTAGTGACTCTAGCATGCTCAAGGCTAGGTTGGAGCTGTGGCAGCACCACACACATAAAAAACCTTTTAATTGCCTCCCTTGTTATTACAGTTTTTAAGGTACAGTAATTTGCTCAAGATTTATGGTTAAAAATAATTTATAGTGCAGTTGTGTTTTTTAGGTAGGAGATGTTGCTGAGGATTAGACCCAGGACTTTAGGCATGGTGTTCTACCACTGAGCTACCACAAACAGCCCAATGCTACTGTTTATAATGGCTTAATCATTACCTCTTTTGGGAGTTTTATCTGTAATATGGAGATTGAGGGTGAGAAGCACCTATTCTGTGATTAACTACAATGAAAGAGCAGTGTGAAGTGCTGCAATCTGTCCTTAACGGAACTGAAGTGCCTAAGAACACTCCTGCTTTTCATGAATAAAATATGGGGTGGAAGCCAGAAGTGCAATTTAACTCTCACCTTAGCTGCACTACATTTTCAAACTTTGCATAATGTGGTAAAACTTACAAGGCACTTGGCTTAAAAATAAGATCAGAGGTTTCTAAGTCTTAGAGATGAAGGGAAATGAAAATTGTATTATCCACCTTCAGACTACATTCTCTTGCACAGCTCCTGACAAGTGGCCTCGTGAAATAACTGGTGACGCTAGCTGGTCTTGCATACCATTCCCAAGACCCCCACATTCCAGCCAGAATGGATTTCTGAACCTCCTGGGAAAAATCCTAGGTCCCAACTAAGAACAGGCACTAAACCAAAGCTGTTTAGAAGAGGAAGGGGGAGGAGGGTTCACTGTAGAAAAGCTTTGCTCATGGTTCAGAATACACTATATCCATCTTTTATCAGAATAAATTAGTCCTTATTCTTCACATTCCATTTCCTAAGTCTGAGAGTAGGTAAATGTAAATTTTACTGAAAATATAACAAGATTATAGAGCAACATGTCAAACAGCCTTCTGAAGGACACTGGACGGGAAGTCACATCTCCCAGCTTCCCCTCACCCAATCCCAACTGCCCTTATCAATGGACATACCAGTTAGGGACAACCCCTGCAGAAACTGACTGAGGAACCTATCTGCTACTACGGTAGAAGGTGAACATTCTCAGAGATTCTGCATCAAGCCCTAACCCTCCACATCAAAGTCAGGGAAACCTGGAAAGAGTGGCCCAAAGATAACAGGGGCAGTGCACCTAGCCATAGCAGGCTTAGGTGGAGAGAGATTAGGCTTCAGTAATGATGGCCAGGGCAAATATTAATGTGTTGCTCTTCTCACTACATAAATATACTCAATCCTTTTATAGCAAGATTCCAGGCTGATTTCAAGTACTCACGTGGGAGGATTTTATTACTGAAATCATCAAAACATCAGTTACAAGGCAGGTCTGCCTTTAGGTTGGCAGCAGAGGGGAGTCTCCAAGTCTGAGCTCTGGAAAAGCCTTTGTTCAGGGAATCCTACCCCTCAGGCAGGGCAGTAATTTTAAATCCCCAAATCAAATTTTAAAAGTGCCCCCTTGGAGAGCTGCAGAATAAACAAACAGGTCTGGTACTTTTCCTGGAACCTTTTTGCTCCCTCCCCCTACAATATCAAATTACTGCCCCCCCACGGTTCCTTTTTTTTTTTTTTTTAACCAATCACCCTATTGTGCCTCTACCATTTCAAATACCTTGTAAATTCGTCTCCATTCTTCCCTCTCCCAAGTCCCCAAAGAATCTGGGAGGAGCTAACAAATGCAATTTGAATAATAATGAAGCAACCGAACAATTTAATTAGGAAAGGTAGCCCTAGAGATTCCCAGAAAAGGGTTGAAAGCTTTATCTACAAAAATGTGGCCGGGCGCTCAACAGTGGGCCCAATTAGGGAGAGTGCACAAGACAGAAATGCTCAGGTGCACACACCAGTTTAAGCAAATGGGAGTCAGCACAAATCCTCCCAGGAGGGAAGACACTAGGGAGAAAAGGGTGACTTTGCTGCTTTCTCATCTGCCACACTCAGGCTTAGTTAACTTTATTCTCTTTCGGATTCATTGCAAGCAGTGCCTAAACTGTCCTCAGAGAAAGACTTTGTACAGAGAATTAAAAACAAGTGAGTTCTCAATAGATGTTCTTAAAATCAAATTACAAAGATACTTTCAGCCCTCACATAATTAGTTCCTTCTCTAGGATGCAAACAGCTTCTCCGAGAATATCCAGTTAACAGACGCATTCTGACCTTTTCAGGTAACCTTACAGATCTTTTGCTTGCTTTTGAGGAAATAAAGAATATCTTTTCTAGAATCCTAAAAAGCTCTCACCTTCCTTAGGTCTTAATAAAATGCAGGAAGCCCCCGCAGGCTGAACGATTACTAAAATTGGCTTCTTGAACAGGAAACAGTTTGGTTCTCAGGCAAATAATTCCCCGCCCTACGCTCACTCCCGGCCAGGCACTGCCTAGCCCAGCTGGTTGGTAACACAGCACAGATAAGGTGTCCTAACAACCGCCTTCGCCCGGATCCAGGGAAACCCTCGGCCACTCGAGGACTCCCTCTCCTCCTGGGCGCGCGCGTCCACCCCTCCCACCTGCAGGCTGAGCCCCGCAGGGACACGGGCGAGACTGACACTCGCAGCTGCCGACAACCCTGCCAGTCACGCTGCCGCCGGCTGCCTTTTTTTAGCCACAACACCTGACCCCCGCTTAAACAGCAGTGTTCAAGGAGAGGTCCCGGAGCGCGCCAGAGGTCCTCTCTTCTCCGCAACCTCTGGACCCTAGGCAGACCTCGTGGCGAGGGTTGGGGAGGCGCGCGTTTCTCTTGCCCAGACTCCTCCGCCTCCTCTTTCCTCACCAACCCTGGTCCCCCCTCGTCCTCCCCAGCACCGGGCTCCCCCATTTCGCAGCTCGAGGTCGCCTCTCTAGCGTCTCCCACGCGTCCCCCCAGTCAATCCCCTGGATCCCCTCCAAGTCGGCGGCCAGCGCGCCCGGTCCGGCGGGGGCGGGAGACCCAGAAGGGTGGAAGGGCGCGAGCTGGGGACCGGCGCTCACCTCCCTCCTCCGCCCCGCAGTCCAGATCTGCGTCCGAGGAGTCGGGGCCGTCCCCGTAGTCCGCTAGTCCCACCAGCTCATCCTCCTCCTCCTCGTCCTCCTCTTCCTCCTCCTCCTCGTCGCCGTCGTCCTCGTTCTGCGGCTGAGGCTTCCCCAGCACCTGGCTCATTGCGCCCCCCGGCCGGCTGGCGCTAGG